TGTTACTCAAAGCAGCCTTTTTGTTATTAATTTTTTTCAAATGGGTCGCAATTAAAGAAAAATTGAATAACTTTTGAACCATCAACAATTTGATAACAACATATACCGTCAGTTTGATTACAAATGATCCCCTCTACCACCCCACTTATTTTGATCCATTACTAATGGGACACCCTGTATATGTAAAGAAATTCATTAAGAATTCGCATTCTCTATGTGATCAAAATATCAATTCTGTCTGGGATATTTTTTTTAGACCTTTAGTCGCAGATTTAATGACGTATCTTCTTACTTTAAAATCAGTTCAATATTATTATGTGCTGACGATATGAAAATATATCTCAAATTGGAGGGACCCTCCTCCTCAACTCATCTTCGAGAGGATTTGGACAGGCTCCGTGTGTGGTGCTACAAAAAAAACTAGTTCTGAATATTCCCCAATGTTAATAAATTCGTTTCAGCAAAAATCACAGTATGATTAACAATGATGAGTACTCATTAAATGATGTGGTCATTGAAAATGTAGACATTATGAAAGATCTAGGTATACTTTCAGAGTGTAAACTTAGCTGTATTCCTTATATTGAATTTATCTGTAACAAAGCTCTGAAGATGATAGGGTTCATCAAACCATCAACAGAGGACTTTTACAATTTGTTGCGTTGAAATCCCTTTACTTTTCATTTGAATGCTATCAACTTGAACATAGCAGCTTTGTGTGGTGTCCTGCCTTCCAAGTTCATATCAGGAAAATAGAAAGAGTGCAGGAACGTGTTTTGCGTTATATTGGTTCCAAGCTCTGTATTCCTATGGAGGAATTCAATTAGGACAATATTTCAAATTGCCTGAACATAAAAATCCTGGAAGAACATAGAAGCAACACTGATATCATCACTATTCAGAAAATATGTAATGATAAGATTGATAGTCCTGAATTATTGGCCTCCCTCAAATTTCATGTTCCTCGAAAACGATTACGTTATAGCAGCACATTCAATTTGAAACTCATAGAACTATACAGTGCTAGTCAAAAGTCCCCTCCCCCCCTCGTATCTTTTGAACGGGTATACTTATTATAATGAAATTTGGAGGATGGAAATAAACGGATGTAGGCTTCTCAACTGGTCATAACAGGTGACGCAATAGTTTATTTCCACCCTCCAAATTTCATTATTATAAGTATACCCGTTCAAAAGATACGAGGGGGGGAGGGGACTTTTGACTAGCACTGTATATGCAAACAATAACCCGATAAAACGGAGTGAAGTGGGTCATTTTCAACACTTGCACTAATGTAATTGTTCTAAAATTGTTCTAAAATTGTTCTAAAATTGTTCTATCCGTCATTCGGTTGCCCCCTTACGAGCAACCCTCAGAAGTCTTCGAAAGACTTGTGCGAGCAAGGAATGACGGGGGCCTTACCTTTTAACGTGTGATCCCAAACACTTTCTTAGGCCATCAGAAAAAGTCTGCGTTCGTGGGTCTCGAACCCACGATCGATACCTCGACGTGAATCGATATTGAAGCATCGAAGCACTGAGGTACGTCTTTATATTTAATGTACATTGTATTCAATGTTTATATATGTATAAATGTATCTTCATTAATGTTCTGTGATATGTTTAGGAATCTGTTGTATAGGCTATATATTTGTTTTTTCTTACACTGAGTTCGTCCGTCAATAAATGAATAAATAAATGAATAATATTAGTATAGATAATAAATCGGTTTTACTATTTGTTGAGAACAAAAGAACAAAGCTTCAATAGGCCTGCTAGAAAATGTAAAACATTTTGTAGATTTTTTTGTATGTATTATTTGATATTGTGAATTCAATAAATCCTATTCTATTCTACTAATGTATGCATACCTGCTTTCGCAATGGAGATTGTCTGCTGTTCCATCGCCTCGTGAATGGCCACTTGGTCCCTGGGGTCCATCTTGTCGAACTCATCGATGCAACAAACACCGTTATCGGCCAACATCAGCGCCCCCGCCTCGATCACGAAATCCGAGGACTCTTCGTCTTTAACCACGGCGGCTGTCAAACCGGCGGCAGTCGACGCCTTTCCAGACGTGTACACGGCTCTAGGGGAGAATTCCGACACCTGAAATCGATCAATCACTTTAATCTTCAAAGGAGTCGAATTGCAAGAGTACAACCAGTTCCTAAAAAAGGCAAAAAGACTCTACCTAGCAACTACAGACCGATCGCACTGCTATCTATCATTTCAAAGATCATGGAGGAAGCTATCATCATCGAGCTCATGATATACCTGGAACATTCAGGTATTATCAACGACAGGCGATATGGCTTCAGTCATCAGAGATCAACTGGTGACCTGCTCGCTTACGTCCCACATATATGGCAGCAATCTATTGAAAAATATGGTGAAACCCTAGCCGTGCCAGTTGATATCTCCAAGGCATTCGATCGAGTCTGGCACCACGGACTCCTCGCCAAGCTTCCATCTTATAGCTAGTTTTCTCTCAAACAGGTTTCTCCATGTAGTCGTTGACGGAGTTTCATCTGACTCTCTCATCCTAAATGCTGGTGTGCCGCAAGGATTAATTCTAGCAGCAACACTATTTCTACTCCATATCAACGATTTGTTGGGAGCAACTTCATGTCCAGTACACAGCTTCGCGGATGATAGAACCCTCCATACTGCCTTCTCTTCCAGGGCTCCAATACCAGCCAGGCAAATCAGAAACGAACGAGAGAGAAATGTTGAAAACATAAATATGGACTTGGTACAATTCTCGAATGGGGATCCAATAACTTGGTAGATTTCAATGCAAACAAAACACAAGAATGCCTTTTCTCTAGATCTCAATGTGCCCAACCTAAGCTTGTAAGGAGAAACCATACCTTTGAAGACATCCATTTTGATGCTTGGTATTACTATCAGCAATAAACTTTCTTGGGAAAATCACGTAAGATCAATTGCTAAAAGTGCATCTCAAAAACTTGGTTTCCTGTTTCAGGCCAGGAGCTATTTCACTTCCAGTCAGCTGCTTATGATCTATAAGGCACAGATCCGACCTGTCATGGAATACTGTTCCCATATTTGGAGTGCAACACCCAAACATACCCTGAAACTGTTGGATTTTGTCCAAAAGGGCAAGTCGTCTCGTGAGTGATGCCTCGCTCACAAACTCGCTCACTTCTCTGGAACACTGTAGAAAAGTTGGCGATCTGGCTCTATATCAAAGATATTTTCATAGTCGGTGCTCTTCTTGCATATCAACAATTGTTCCTCCCTTGGTAGTACCCGCGAGATTAACCCGTCGAGTTGAAACATCTCTTTCCAAAGACTCGTTCATCCAACGAACAGCGAGGCTCTGGCAGTGTCTTGCCAAGGGAGGTGTTCCCCGACGCATATAACCTCCATAAATTTAAGAAGAACACCAATTCCTACCTTATTTCCCTTGGTTCTCACAATGTTGTCTGGACATTACAGGATATCCCTTTTCGTGGGAACCAGAACATGAAAAAAAATTCTGTGCGGATCTTGACATGAAATTGCTAAATTAACCTTTCAGCGGGCGCGCTGTCGTAAAATGTAAGACGAACACGCCTAATAAGTGACGCATCGTTATTTTCAATGAAACTCCCCAAATATTTTTCGAAAGAATTGGAGATTTTTCTTTTCTGATTTCAAAAATATATGGGTTGTTGACATTCGGTTCAGCCTCCTTCTCACCTGCTTCAAGAACTGGCTCTTCGCCGTACTGGGGTCCCCCACCACGCAACAGTTGATGTCGCCTCTGAGCGAAGTGCCCTCGATGGTCGTTTTGGACACGCCGCCGAACAGCATCAGCAAAATGCCCTTTTTCACTTCGTCGTTGCCATGGATGCTGGGGAAGAGGCTGTTGATCATGTTGTGGTAGAGGTTCTTGTCGTGCGACATTTCGTACATGTGCTTCCACTCGCCGTCGGTCATCTAAGGAAGTGATTATTATTATTATTATTGTGTTAATACAGGTTGAATAAATCAATGTTCAGACCTTCAGGGTCTTAGTTAATTGTGTGCCGATGATACAAGGTGTGAATCCTCGGGTGCTTTCAAGGAGAAAAGTTTATATCAACATATTTCCTAAACTTACTGGTTTTCGAGCTACAATCAGGCCTACGTGAACATGACTGGTAAAAGTAAAAAATCCATTTTTGTCCCAGAACAAAATTTGAATCCACTCATAGTGGGGGCCAACTAAATTTTTACAAAATACCAAAAACAATATCAATTACCTGAAGAAAAACATTTATGGGGATTCCAAAAATAATTTTGTTTAGAAAAATCAGTGATGTACCATTTTTTTCTTCAAAAATTGTCAGTTAAAACACCGCACGGACGTCACTGGTGAAAATTTTAAAATATCTTTCACGTAAAAAATTCTTCTTAATGATGAAAAGGTGTGTACAAAATTTCATTAATATATCTAAGAGTGATAATAAATCATGATCAAAAAGTCACTTTTCTCTCAAAATTTCAACACCGTGTAGCTCAAAATTTAAGAGGTTTAGGAGATATGTTGATTTAAACATTCATCTTCAAGGTCACACCTTGTATTATCGTCACTCAATTAATTAACAACTTGTATAATAAAAAAAATTCCAAAAAATTCAATATATTCCACACAGAACTGGTAGGAACAAAATTATTCACATTGAAAAACTGAGATATTATGAAGACAACCTTGAATAATACATTTTTTGAGGTTATTCTTGAACGTGTTGAAGTTTTCATTGGTAATACATCGGCAAATGATTGAAAAACTCTAACCCGATATAATAAGTTATTTATCACACGGGGGAAAATAATTATATTTTGGCTCCAGGTTGTGTTTGTTGTCTCCCGACGCATAGCGGAGGGAAACAAACAACCGAAACCTAAAATTTAATATTTTTTCTGCACTGCATCGAAAGTAGGCATTTGCTCCCTCATTTAAGGACACAAACCTGTCAATTTACTCCCACGGGACAAAAAAAAATTCCTTCCGTGGGAAGTAAAATAAATTGGCTTTAGCTTGCTTCCTTGGTAGAGATATACGTCTGAGATCTGTGCTACCCAAGTACCTAATCAGTGTCTTCATCACTACTATTAAACAAATAACAATTTCATTATTGAATTCCAATGATCTCCTACACTTCCTCATATTCAAAACTCTGAATATAATGCAATTACACAATAAACAAATTCAATGTGACTGAAGTGTCGAACTGATTTGAGATTCAAATACTGTCTGCAACCTTAGATCATGTAACAAATTGATTTGGGTGGAGACTCTCCAAATATATGCGTTCGTGGATAAAATCATATATACAGGGTGACATAGAAAAAAGTACATTGCATAGTGCCACATAATAGGAGACTAATAGTATATTACGTAATATGTGTCTGAATTATAATTCCTGACGGCGATTACGCCATCATGACACATACCTATACTGGCGGAATAAACGAAAACTGTGCGATGTGCTTACTGTGCGTGAAGAGCTGCTTACTGAGCCTGTATCTCGTGTGTTCTTGCCTACTCTCTATAGTGGCTGTAGGTAAAATAAGAAAAAAAGTTCCCATGAACACGGGTTCGCAAGGCCTTCGTTGGCGTGTGTTGACTTTTGATTTTTTATTCAGAGAGGTCAAGGAGTAGAATTGGAAAATAACTCGTCAAGAAATATACATATTCAAAATTGTACTAATTGTAGAAACATTTCCTTTCAATATCAATGGTAAAAATAATTTAGTTGAATAGTTCCTTATATATTATATATATTCCTAACTTTACCAATGCAAATTGATAGTACTAATTAACTATTAAATATTTTGCTAATACAATTACTCTTTTTATTTTCCGTTCTCAATCACTTTGATAAAATATGTTTCGGTTTTTGCAAGAGAAAAATATTGTGTGCAACTCGTGCAAAAAAGACAAATCGCACTTGTTGCATGTTGCAGACCGTGAGGCGGTCGCTCACCTGTTGCTTCATGATCTCGGCCGTCATCTCCCCCATGGGCATCTTGATGCCCCCCAATCTCGGATTGGTCGGCTGCGTACCGCATGCCAAAAAGGCGATATTATATCTACATTCCAAATAAGAAGACAGTAGGTGACGCTGTCTCTGAAGGAATATTAACATTGAAGACATAAATATATGGCCCTAATTCAAAATCATAAGCCATTCTACGGATTGAATTCCACTCTGAGTTCATGTTGATTCTCAGAATTTATTGTAACATAATATAAAAAGTACGAGAAATGAATGATATGTGATGATGTGATCATCAATAAAGAGAACTTCAATCTCTACGTCGCGACATACGTCATAATATTAAACAGGTGTAATATTGCCTTCAATATTAACCAATTAAAGCGAAGGACAATGTTTCCCCATAGTTCCCAATGCTGTCTTCTACGTTGGAATGGACTATAGATCTTTATTTAGAATGACAGTGGTCCGATAATCCACACGGATTCATTAATTAAATAGCATTTAGTGGACATAAATCATGAGCAGAGAATCGAGGACATGAGATCAATTTATCCGATGAATATATTTTTCTACGTTCATGCAAATACAAACTTTTATTGAACTATTTTCAGTAAGAATAGTGGTTCTTTATTACACTAGTGCAATAAAATTTTTATTGCACTCATCTGTCATTTTACTACAGCGTATTTTGACATGACAAACATAAACGTTCAAATCCACGTCATGCTATTGTCCATTTTCTGAGATTGCATTAGCTTTTAAACAATTGCATATTTCATATTCACAGTGTCTTCTTGACATTATCCAGTCATAATCAAGACAGTTCCGCTTTAAACCGTCAATGCGGCGCATAGAGCAAACGCTGACTCGTGACATGTTTTGCCACTAGCCACTAGAGACAGGGCGCAACAAACGAATCGCCGACAGTAGCGGAATGATACGTAGAGGTATCATTTGCAAACATACTCAAGGTTGCGATATAGATAGAACATGGTATTCACTACTGAAAACTGAACATGAAAATGGTAGATTCAAGATCAATTAATGAAAACATCCTGTAACACATTTGTAGACTAAAATCACTCATTCATATGTCAACATCAGTATGACACTGAAAAGTGTCAAACTATAAGCAGCACAACTTTCAAAGAAAAATATTTTGCATTTACATGTTGAGAACGGGAGCAGATTCGGTCCTGAAAAGTCCAAAGATAAGTAAAAATTCGATATTTTTTCAATATATCTATATTTCTTTCCTTCAAACATGTTTTCAAACAAATTGTCACTGACAAGCTAATGGATTTTTCTTTTAGACTCCATGATAGAAAAATTTGTTAAACGTAGTGACATTTTGGAGCAAATAATCTGATTTGTCCCACTACAAATATATTGAAATAATACGAATATTTTCATTTTATAGAAACGAGGAGAGAAAATCCCAAAGAATCAAGTAAAATGAACAATTACTCTTTTTATTTTTCTGCACTTCTCGTGCAGGAAAGTGTTAATCGCACTTGTTGCATGTTGCTGACCAGTGACCGAGAGGCGGTCGCTCACCTGTTGCTTCATGATCTCGGCTGTCATCTCGCCCATAGGCATCTCGATGCCGCCGAATCTCGGATTGGTCGGCTGCGTGCCGCACGCCAAAAAGGCCGGTCGATAGTGCAAATCGCGAACGCCGAGCGCCTTCAGTCCTCTCACACCTTCGGCCTCGTCGGGGCGCTGGTGCTTGGAGCGGATCTGCGTACGGCCCCCCGGCAAGGCTAGGGCCCCCACATCCGGCACCACTATCAAAGTGCCCGTAAAGTCATAACGGTCGCCCGCCTGCAAAAAAATGAATGTTGTGTTAGATTCTAACTAGAGGAACCCCAGACAGACGCATTTTCCACTAGAGTCCCAGTATGTGCTGGCCGCATCATATTCTGTTTCCATTTTTGTAGAATTACCTTATCCGATGGAAATTCGAATAGAGTGAATTGATTTCCCGTGTTCTCACAGTTGGAAACTGCACAAACTTGCACCAATCTTTCTTCTAATTCTCTCAATTTGTCAAATCTGAAATCTGAAATCTTGAAATTCATGTCATGTAGGTCCGTGTACCGTCAGTTCCCGCTTTTTCCATCAATTTATTTGTGGTTATGTCTGATTGTCAGTGCTTGTGATAGTGTCCATACTCTAATATACAGAAAACGTCAAAACAGCAGTGTCAAATACATCTAGGGACTCTAATTTCATCAATATATCACACTTGGGGTCTATCAAGGATGATTACAGGGATATAGGGTGTTCAAAAGGGTGGTTCAAGATTCAGCACCAGAATCTGCGCAGTCCGAGGATCGTTTGAACAATTTTAAACGCGAACAAACCTCTTACCTGCACAGTTTCGACATTTTCGGCACGTAGAATGACCTCCACGCTCCTGGGAATGCATCCTCGAGGCAATTCGGCTTGGGTCTCTTGTATCCTGACCTTCTGGAAGTCCACGAACAGAGATTTGTCCACGTTCAACATGAACCGCATCCTGTTATTGCAAACCGGATTCCTGCATATCGTCGGTTGAGTAAACTGGAAACAATAAATGGTACCTCTTTCAATTAATTCATACTGTAAAAGGAAAAAGTAGTATTTTTGTAATGCAGCAGATTTTTTAAACCGATTTATCTCGAAGATGGTGAGTGCTATCAAAACTGAGAAAAGAGTATAATTTTTAGCTAGAAATGATATTGTCATTCAAGAAAATTGCATAAAAAAATAGTTGGGGGAAGTAATGCCCCTAGCCCCACCAATTTCCCACGCCCCTGATTAAAACTTCAGAAAATTCTAAAGATTTCCAAATTGGGCTTTAATAGTAATATACTTGTACAAAATTTTGTTATCTCATCACAGAGAGTTTCGGAAATATTTACAAAAAATCATAATCTCGAACCCTCTTTCAGATGGCTATAGTTTCCCAGGGGGCCATTTCTGGGTTCATATTTGTATGAACTTTTTTTACTATTTTTGTTCCTAGAATCTGTGATTGAAATCGTTTTATGTAATTTCTGGACATCCTGTATACATAAAGGCGCAAATTAAAAAAACAAAGTTAAGGGTTGAAAAAACACATATTTCTTCGCTTTTCAGGAATGACTGAAATAATATTTAATATAGAAGGGAAAAAGTAGCAGATTTTAGCTCCAGGTTGTGTTGCCTCCCGTGTGTGTTGCGTAGCGGACGGTGAGAAAAACTGTGAGCTAATGGCTATTTATATATCAAGGGAGGAAAGGTATTCATTTCCTCCCGCGTGTGAAGTTTGATTCACGGCGCGTAGCGGAGGGCATTAAACACAGATGGGAGGAAATGAACCTTTGCTCCCATGATATACAGGGTGTTAACAAATAAGTGTCACAACGGAAAACTGTAGATTCATCATAAAAATAGGGAAATAATTTTCCTTCACGAAATTTTTCTCCTGGCTTCCGTTTTCAATATACAGGGCTTCAAAAAATGATAAAAAAATCAGTTTTTTGCTCTTATCACAGGAACTGTTTGAGCTACGGAGCTGAGCCTTTGTACACATTCTATCGTTAATAATGACTACTTTCAAGGATCTTGATCAATTTTCTTGGACTTGTCAGTGGCGGAGAGTTTAACGCCTCGTAAGGGTTCAACCCCCCAAACTTTCATGCCACTGTAGAAATTGTAGTTTTCAAAGCACATTCTGAAGCGCCAATATCTTTCACACAAAAAAGGTCCTCTTGCTTCAATGCTCGGGAGTGAACAGTTTTAGGGAAAAATGGCGATTTATGGATAACAACATACAAAATCCTACTATAATTATTTATGATTTTCAGACGATTTTCAGCGCTACGAGGATTTTGTATGTTTTCATTCATAAATTGCCATTTTAGAGGATCACTCTCCTTCCAGTAATCAAAGAAACTCAAAAGAAATTGTAGGATTGAAAGTACCCTTACCCCCAGACATGTTTTTTTTTTGGTACAACAATTATTCGTAAGTGGACATAGAATTCACACATTGAAAATCTAGGATCTAAGTTGCGTGAGAAATTGTTTTTAAAAAACACAGTTTCTAATGAAATTTCATTACTGCTATATAATAATGTTATTGAATCAGTTATTCCTTATGGAATAATTTACTGGGGCCATAGTGCAGGTTCACATAAGAATTTTATTTTCTTAAAAAAAAAAAAACAATCCGGTTAAAGCTGGGGTTGCCAGTAACTAATACTGTAAAAAACACTTCCATCAGTTTGGGCATTCTGACAATGCCATGTTTATACATCTACGAGGTTCTAGTGTTAATCAGAAAGAACTCCACCTCTTTCAAAACAAATAATTGCCTAAATGATTATAGCACAAGTGTAACTTATCTCTGTTACACTTACCATTTAAAAGACTCCAAATCGGCCAAAATGATCCAAATTATATAGGCTTCTAATTATACAACAAATTGGATGAATCAATAAAGCTTTGTAATACAATGAATCAGTTAAAATATATATTGAAACAATTCTTAAAAGGCAAGGCATTCTACAGTATTGAAGAATTTTCTCTAAACGTTGATCTAACATAATTTAGTTATATTGGGCTGTGTAATTCCACATGTGATAAGTAAATATTTTCTTGGGTAGTAGTCATTAATTATTAAGAGTATTAATTTTTCTAAACATATCTCCTATATGTATCAGCAATGTTTCTATAGGTTTCATATGTTACAATCTGGACAATATGTTTTTTGTACACCATTTACACTTCAATCTGGTAATAAACTTGATTTGATTTGATTTGATTAGATTTGTCCATCATGATGCGCATCCTATTATTACAACCAGGATTCCTGCATATCATTGGTTGAATAAACTCGGAACAATGAAAATGAGGTCAAAAGTGAGTCAGATCACTTTCAATTATTGTGATTCATACTATTACATCAGTTCACGATATTTTTCTTGGAAAAAGAAAACAATTTGTACAGGGTGATTATTTGTATTCAACTCATATACAGGGTGAGACATAACTTTTGCGGGCTAAAGGCGGATTGTATGGACCAAAATATGGTGACAAATTATGCCTTCATAAAATATTGCTGTGGAAAAAGATAATGGGCGTTAAAGTTTAATTATTTTTTCGTTTCTTGCTAATAATTTCACGGTTATTCATCAATAGTTATCAAAATCAATAGAGGAATATTTTTATACAGGGAATATTATCTTACGTATTAATATACAGTTTGTTGCAGGGGACACCAAGTGAATGATTCCTGATGATGAATTTGACTGGTAACTATTCTTAACAAAACATCTTAGTGATTTTGATCAGAAAATATTACAACTATCATTTCTATGTGATATTGGTACTCTTCCTTGAACAAAATATTTTCATCTCATTTCGAGAAAAACGCAATTGAACAGTCAAGAGTATCTGAAGGGAATTTCAAATATCATTTTATTCATGAATAGTGTGCTCTGGAACGTCAGATAATTGTAGTTGGTAAATTATACTTCTTGTCAGTGAATAAATTTTGGTGCAAGTTTATAGTCAAGGGGTAAACCGCGATGGAATCCTGATATACAAACAACTGGAATTCCTTGGAATTTCCTGGATTTCCTTCTAATTCCCTGGATTTCCTTGGAATAACTTGGATTCCCTTGGAATTCCTTGGATTTCCTTGGAATTCCCTCGAATTCCTTGAGTGAAGTGCGGTATATTCCTGGTCTACGAACAACTGGAATTCCTTGAAATTCCTTGGATTTCCTTGGAATTGTTTGGATTTCCTTAGAATTCTGTGTTTAAATATGAAGTGTATATCCATCTTACAGATGGCTGCTGTTGCAAGTACAAATAAACGAATTTGAATTTGAAGTGTGGTATAATTCTGGGGTATAAACAACTGGAATTCCTTGGATTTCCTTGCAATTTCCTCGAATTCCTTGAGTGAAGTGCGGTATATTCCTGGTCTACAAACAACTGGAATTCCTTGGATTCCCTTAGAATTCCTTGGAATTCCTTGGATTTCCTTGGAATTGTTTGGATTTCCTTGGAATTCTGTGGAATTATGTGTTTAAACATGACGTCTATATCCATCTTACAGATTACTGATGTTGCAAGTTCAAATAAACGAATTTGAATTTGAAGTGTGGTATAATTCTGGTGTATAAACAACTGGAATTCTTTGGATTTCTTTGGATTTTATTGGATTTCCTTGGAATTCCTTGGATCTCCTTGAAATTGCTTGGATTTCCTTGAAATTCCTTGGAATTCCTTGAATTTCCTTGGAATTCCTTGAATTTCCTTGGAATTCCTTGAATTTCCTTGGAATTCCTTGGATTATCTTGGAATTCCTTAGATTTCGTTTGAATTTCCTGGATTTCCCAGAAGTTTCTTGGAATTTCTTGTGTGAAGTGCGGTATAATTCTGGTGTACACACGACTGGAATTCCTTGTGAAATTGAAGTTTGGTGTACACAATTTTGACCGCGGTATACCCCTCATTTATAGTCAATAGTTTTTCGATTTGAACGCCCTATAACTTTTTCCACAGCAAGATTTTATTGAGGCGTATTTAGTCCAATCTCCATATTTTATTCCAAACAATCCACCCCTTGCCTGTCTCAATAGTTATGACCCACTCTATATAAATAATTATAGTCAAAATACCTTAAACTGTTGCTCCACATTCTTGATTACAGTCTGGCAATCCAAGCAAGTGAATGTTCCAGACACTAACTCTGGGTGCACAGGGTGAGTCCGAATAACTTGACCGGATATGCGAACCAAAGTCCCAATTTTGTCTGTTTTGAGTTCCCTAACCACATGCCTCGTTGGGACATCAGTGAAGCTAATGTAGCACTCTTTTTCCTTCTTGAGTCCTGCCCTGTCCTTAACAAAATTGGATACGGCCTGACACAGGTAAGGATAAATTCTGTAATATTCTTCGATTATTGTGGTGGCCAGGTTTTGATTATATTTTTCTATGTCTTCAAAACTGATTTCTATTGTACTCCTCTCCTCATTTTGTAGTTCTAAAGCAGGCTCTAGATATTTCAGCTCTCCTTCTTCTTTATACCTATTGAAATCACCGGGTGAATTAGAATAATTCAAATAGCCAGCAAAGTACCTAGTTGTTTTCTCAAAAGAGAGAGAAAGCTCAAAGTCATCTCCACAACTTTAATAATGATGTAGTCAATCAAATGGACATGTTTCAGACTCATAAAAAGTCTGAAGATGGACTTTAGTAAGTCCGAAACATGTTTCTTTAATTGACTACATCATTATTAAAGTTGTGGAGATGACTTTGAGTTTTCCTTCTTCCTTCAGAGAAAATTCCACTCCACTTTGAGCAAACATGGACTTCTACCAGAGATCAGTTGTTTTCTGTTGAATATTCCCCATGACATTATACAGGGTGTCCCTGAAAGATCTGTACAGGGTGTCCCAAATTGCTTGATTGATTGAAATTGTTTGATTATGGCATTTTTTCCCTTTTCCAGAACAGCTCCAGGAAAACTGACCATGAGGT